ATATATATATTCATTCTCCAGAATCTCAGCAAATATTTCTCCAGCTATCTGAACCCCTTCATACCTCAGGCTTTCCCTATTCCTTCACCCTGGGCAGGAGGTCTTCTCCCTGTCACTGATCCAAATGCTACCATATTGCCATCACCCACTGTTGGTAAAGGGTGGTCTAGCAAAAGAGGAACAAATGTAGTAGACTTGTTAAGATGAGTGAAAGATCATAGGCATGGCCAAAAACGGAAGCATGGAATATACTTACTTAAAATCAAAATAGTAATCATAATAAACATTATATAGCATTGATATGAAAATCATGAAGTAGGTACAAAAAAATCATTCTTGAATTAATCCCTAATAAGTGGAGAAGAAAATTGGCCTCAGGTCTTGCATGCCCATCAAAGAGCCTCAAAAAGCTATGGGATAGTCTGCAAACCTTGTTTTGGAATTCCTTTGATGCCAGTCTGTAATGCTGAATTATGGTACCATATGGCTCAGAGTTTTTGGAGACAAAGAGCAACATGTGATTCAAGATGTTCAACTCGTAAATCAAATCCTTATTCTGAAATTACAAGGAAAATATGTCATTCGCAACATAAAAACTGTATGCATTGTCCTCCCAGGACCCTTTTGCCCACTGACCTCTGTGTTGTATTCAATCACAAAGCTTGTGAGGTACGATTTTATGACTTGATTGAGATCATATTTGTTGGTACTGTCATTAATAAGCTCTTTGCGTTTCATAATTTTCCCCTTTGTGCCAAAGAAAAAACATGTTAGAGGGTAGTAGTTGCCTTAGTATAAACAATAAATATAAATAGCACAATTTTTCCCTTGGATGAAAGTAAAATACCAAGGACAGTGACAGGTATAATGCATAATCCAGTTACGTAGTAAATATGAACATGGAGCAAGCCAGTCTGTGTGTGGAATGTGGGTATACAACAGATGTGAAATCTCAGTCTGCAATGATAGTGTAACGACTGATAATCCCAGCTGTTGTGTCTGAAATCCATCAAAATACATATACTGAGACTGAGAACCATGCCACACTTCAGCCAAACAATGGCTGAAGACACTGGGGACACAAAGGCAACCCAATGCTGAGGGTTCAGGACTTCCCTGATAGGCAACTCAGAGAAGCTTCCTGCAGTCAAAGCCCCTTCCATCAACCTTCCTTTCTCCCAAAAGTCAGACCTTCATTGTGGTCTAATGGTTATTTGTGTTCCTCGCCTCTTTGCTTTTCTTGAGGCATTTTCCCTAATAAACTCTGTGTATCTAATCCTGCTAGGCAACTGCTTCCCAGATGGATCTGGACAAACATAGGGAATAACATGATGGTTTGTAGCCTGGAATCGAAGTCTATGAGAGAAGCAACAGCAGCTATTTAATAGAATTCAAATTTTATTCCATCTTCTCTTCATCTCCACCAATCCTAACTTGGTCCAGACTTCTCACCTGGAATCTTGGAAATGCTTCCCTGCTGGCCTCCACTTTGCCCCTGGCTTCCCTCCATCCTTCCCTGACATACCGGAAAGACTGATGATGTTAGAAAACAAATATAATTCTTGTTATGATTTTCTTGTTTCAACATGTTATAGCCACAAGTTTTTCTCTGGGTAAAGTTCCAGCTCTTTGCTAGTCACAACTGTGACCCTGGAATACTAATTGGAGACACCTCATGATATTCCAGCCACACTTCCAAACATGTTATATGCTCGATCCTCACATCTCCGAATTCTGTACTATTAATGCTCTCCCTCTTCCTTCTTTGCTTTGTATGTGCATCTCTCTAACTTCTCACATGAGAAAATAAAAGTCACAGAGAAGTGAAGTAACCTTTCCAAGTTTGCTAAGCTAGTAAGAGATGGAACCAAGAGTTAATTAGCTGGTTAGTGAGTGCTGATAATAAACAGTGGACCTCACCCATACTAAGTATGTGCTCTACCACTGAGTTGTACCCCAGTCCTGGAGCCAGGATTTAAAGAGGAAGATGTAACTGCAGAATTCATACTCTAAGCCATTTAAAACATGCCTTTGGGGATGGAGAGCTGGCTCAGCAGTTAAGAGCACTGACTGCTCTTACAGAGGACCTGGGTTCAATTCCCATATGGTGGCTATGAACTGTCATTAACTCCAGTTCTGGGGGAACCCAAAGCCCTCTTCTGACCTCTGCAGCGTTGCATGACATGGGTGCACTCACATACCTGCAGGCAGTATACTCATACACATAATAAATAATAAATAAAAATATAATAAAATAAAACATGCCTTCTTGGTGGTGGGGATAGTACAGAATCCAGATACTTAATATATTTATCATTAATAATAAATACCCAAACTCCTGGAATGTGTTTCCCATGTTTCCTATTTGACTTTTGGTTTTATGGTGGGGATTATTCTACAGAACTGTAAGTATCTATGTCATACAAATCTGATAGTATTTTAATAGGGTTTATGTCATGCTTTATAAAGGCCTTCCCTAATTCCAAGTCTAGAAAAAAGTCTGTCTCATGTCATCTTTTCATTATTTCATGGTTTTGTGTTTCATAAATTTGAATCATGGTCATCTGAAACTTAAGTTGATGTAAGGCATCCTGTCTGGGTACAGCTTTGGCGTTTTATCAATTATTCTTAACATCCTTCATTCAATAATAGACACTTTCTCCACTGATCTAAATAATCATCCTCTTCATATATTAAATTTCTGTATGTATCCTGATCTATTTCTAGTCTCTATGCTGTCCTACTCAAAATTGTGACTTAGATTGCTTTATTCCCTAGCTTAAAACCATTCAATGACTTCTATGGGTCCAAGAGTAAACAGAGACTGAGAGTCACCTTTGAAAGTCAAGGAGACCTGAACATCACTCCACATATCAAGTGTGGCCTCAGATAAGTGACTAACCTCCCTCAGCAACATCTTAATTAACACACTACTATGCATATCTGACTTTGAATGAGGAGCAAGGAAGGTATGTTTCCAGAATCAGACCAAACGACTAGAACCTCTGTAGGATTCTCTGTGGTGATGGAAAACAAGCACACTGTAATCTATACTGGTCTATACAACAGCCAACTAGACCCAAGGGACATGAGACACTTGAAATGTATACAATATGACTGAGGAATTGATAGTTAATCCTGATTGTCAATTGAATTAAGACAGGATTATGTATGTATGTGCGTATGTATGTTTGTATACATGTAATAATAAGGAGGTCATGAAATTGAGAGGGGTTGGGGTGAACATGAGAAGAGTTGAAGGGAAGAGGAGGAAGTGTGGAAATGATATAAATACAGTACTCATGTATGAACTTCTCAAAGAGTAAAAAATTTTTAAAGAAGAAAACTGGTGAAGCACACTTCTGGGTGTGCCTGTGAGGGTGTTTCCAGAGAGGATTAAATAAGGGGAAGACCTGAGTGTGGGCATCACCATTCCATCAGCTAGGGTCCATATAATAGAAAAAGAAAATGCTAATGCAGAAGTCCTGTCTCTGTGCTTCCTGGATGTCGTGGTGTGAGCTGCTCTGCTCCACCAACCCTCCCTATCATAATGGACTCAAACTGTGAGCCAAAATAAATCTTTCTCCCCTTAGGTTTTTTTTCTAAGGTATTTGTCACAGGGACACAAATCTGACTAACAGGAGCTAAAATTTTAATTTAGTTACTTTTACTCTAAATAGTCACATCTACTACATAGTCATTAACTAGCAGTTGCATATTGTAAAGCTCAGGTCTCAATCTCAGAGAGGGAGGAGAGGAAGATATTTAAAGAAGCCTCAGGCCTGAAAGGTCTTGTAGACATCATTAACTATGTCTTTATGCTCATAACAAAAGATCAGTGGGTAAGAGCACTTGCTTTGCAAGCATGAGTTCCCGTGTTCACCCAACACCCCTATAAAAAGCCAAACATAGCTGAACCCATCTTTAACTGTAGCATTGGGAGGCAGAGACAGGCAGATAATGGGAGGTCAATGGCCAGACAAGATAACCAAGCAGTGAGCTTCCAGCTCAATGAGAGTTGAGCGCAATAGAGGAAGACATCCAATGTCCTGCTCTACCCCCAGCATTTGTATAAACCGTCACACTCGCGTGCATGCACCATATACACATAGACACCCCACCACACACACACACACACACACACACATATAAAAGCATTAAAGGGCTTTCAGAAAGGAAGGGGATAGTGATCATCAGATTTCAATTTTGGAAGGACTGTTCTTCAGAGGACCAGAAAAGATCAGTTTGGAGGCTGTTCTAATTAGCCTTTAGAGATAGCAGTCACTTGATTTTGGGGTGGTTAGAATAGAGTTATGGAGAAATAGATAGATCCCAGGGGCATCTTGCATGTAAAATCATTGGGATTAGTTGTGAGGGGTAGAATGGCAGGAGGTGTTAGAACGATTCTTGGTGTTTCGGGCTTATTTCACTAAAGACAGTGGTGTTATCCATTGAGTGATTAAAAATTCTAATTCTTAGGAATCTTGAAGAGGAGATTATATCTTTGAGATTAGCCATGATGACCTGTCTGCTTCTACATACCAAAGTCTGGAGGTAAGAGAAGTCTAGATGAAAATGGATATTTATGTCATGGGTGTATGGAGGATGGCTAGGGAAACATGGACCACAAAAATAAAAATTCATAAGCTGAGAATGGTATACACACCTTTAATCCCAGCATTAGGGAGGCAGAGACAGGCACATCTCTGTGAGATGGAAGCCAGCCTGATCTACACAGCAAGCTCCAGGCCACAGGGGCTATAGGGAGATCAATCAATCAATCAATCAATAAATAAATAAATAAATAAACAAACAAACAAAGATGGAAATGTCCCAGCCAGTTACTGGAGAAGTTTACAATGAAGAATAGATGGATAGGTCAGATTTCATACAAGTCAACTACTCCAATGACACTTAGCGCACAGGTGGCCAAGCTAGAATTTGTCCACAAATGCCATCCCTCAGTGTAAGGAAAGAGGCCCATTATTATCAATAGGATCAAGTCCTACCTTTTTGAACACCAGAACACTATCGAGGATCACGTGGAACCATCCAAAGGTATTTCTGATTTCTATCACTCCAAAAGTTAGCTCTGGGAAGTCCTTGATTACATCATAGAACAGTTCTCCTACTTCCTCCTGTACATCCTGTTTGGGAAAGTATGTTTGGTAAGTCTTTGGGGGGAAGCAAAAATGTCTGACTTATTTTAAAGGAAGATGAAATGGTGGCCAATATGTGTCTTTGTCTAAATTCTGGTGTTTTGCTGGGTGATCTAAATCCCCCTTTATGGATGTTCTATGCCTCGAATGTTTCTCCAGTTATGATTGAAACCTACTCAGGCAAATCCTCAGAGATCAATGGACATAACTGGCTATCTTAATTTTTTTCCAATTATTACAATAAAAGAGAGTCTAACCCAGGAGTTGAGAATATTTTTAACATGAATTCCTTAATCACTTTCAGAAGAGACCATTGATTTGACTGTATGTAATGCCAAATATGAACTGGTATCATGACACAGCTAGAATTCCGACTGTCACTCTTTAATTTGAAAGAAAATTTTGATCAAAACTACTCTCTTCGTGTGTAAATATAATGGCAAAGTTCTGACTTCTACTGGGGGAGAACAATTGCTGTCAACTTGAAGCAAATCAGTTAAGACCCAGGAAAAGCTCATTCTCTGTAAGTAAACATAACTTGTAACATTTATAATTATAAAGCTAAAATCCATAGGAAGTTATCATAAGGCACTTCATAATGATATGTAATTATGAAGCATTCTAAGTATTATAGGTAATATTTGTGTACTTTCTCAAGCACCTTTCCCACTGCATCTGTAATGAGAGTTGATGTGTCTGTTCTTAAGTGGATACATGTGTATGAAGTGTTGATTTATGGTTTTAATTTATACAGAGGAGTAGAATGAGTTTAGGAATGAAAACTGCTTGGCCCAAGCAGCCTAGAAGTCACCTGTCAAAATCATAGAATACAGTAGCTCTTGCACCAGAAAATAAAGTTCTTTTATTCTGTCCTATTTTAAATGAACCCCCTGAGATCAATTACACTATTACAATAAATTAAATAAGTATGCCAGTCTCCTATTATTTTGATCTATTCCCTTCTATCCTGTAACTAACTTCTAACATTTCAACTACCATGCTTTCTGTCTTCATCTGAACCCCTAAGAGCTCTCTCAGACACCTGCTCAGTGAATGGGGAAAATTGATCACTGAGAGAATCTCCTCTCCTGAGCCCCTCCCAGACACAGTGTTTCTCACCCACTGAAAAACCACCTCCAACCCCTTGACCCCAGTACCTGGAAGAAGCCAACGATGACCAAAGGTCTGGATTTCACGAAATATGACAGTTCCTCACCATTGTTAAACAAAAATGCTTTCTGACTAATTTGTCTTCTCAACCAAACAACCAAAGCTGCAGATTCAACCACTCCTGGAGGGAGAGACAATCAAATGAATCCCATATTAATTTTTCCTGAAATAGAGCAAGTTCTGTGTTCCCTAAATTCAATGTACAAAAGTATATTGTGTTCCACCCTTTAAAGACCAAAGTCCGTGTATCCATTTCCTTTGTTCTCCCAAACTTAAGACGTCAATATTAAAAGCAACTGCTAAATGTCACCAACCTCTCACCAAGGTCAGGACACTGTACTGTTTTGTTTGGATTAACCCTTCACAACAACTCTAATCTCTAATGAGAAGATGCTTTTACTTTTTCCACTTTGCAGATGAGAAAAAAAGATTCAGCTAGCTGACAGTCAGTGCACCTAGCACATCTGGGTATCTGACCTAAGAGGAAGCATCCCAGCCTTCTCCAAGCTGATAGGAAAATGAATTGGTTTTCTTAAAACATCAATCAAAAGACTACAGAGTTCTGTAACCTTGTGGAAAATCCCATTTATTTTTCTGCATCTTGAATTCTCTAGCTGAGACCCAAATACCCTCTAAGGTGTCAGAATCCCAACTTCCATCTCTCAGCTACCACACAAGAGGAACCAGCACAGACATCTTAGCTTTGAAAATGAGGGCATGTATTCCTGACCTGGAAACACATATTTGTGTACCAGAACATACACAAGGCTGTGTAGAGATGGACACATCTTTCCTAGGAGCATCGGTTTCATATGACAAGGTGTGCTGGAAAGCTTTAGTGTCAACTTGACACACCTCGGTTGAGGGAGCCTCAATTGGGGGATTGCCTTTATTGGACTGGCCTGTGGCCATGTCTGAGGGGCATCTTCTTGATGAGTGATGTGGGGGGAGCAAGCCAATAAGCAGAGTTCCTCCATGGCCTGTGCTCCAGCTCCTGCTTCCAGGTTCCTGCCCTGAGTTCCTACCTTGGGCTCCCTGATGAACTGCAACCTGGGAGTTGTGAGCTGAATAAACCCTTTCCTCCCCAAGTTGGTATTGGTCAGAGTATTTTGTCACAGCAATGAAGAAACAAACTAGGACACAAGGTAAACTCTTACTTTATGTCAATGTCTGTTGTGGGATGGAAGAGACATTTTTAATGAGTTTTTGAGATAAATGTTTGTTTTGCAGAGCTTTAGAGCACATGAAGACCTTGATTTGTTCACCCATTTATTCATTTATTGGATAGATGTTATTTACTGAACAGATGTTGTTATTATAATATTATAATATGTTGTTACTATATATTATGTTATAATATATTTATATGTATTATATATTATATACATTATATATAATGTTGTATATTATTTGCAGTATTATTAAGTGCCATATTTTGCCCTGAGATATCATTGTTAACAGAAACAAACACATCGCTACTGTTTTGCAGCTCTTATGTTGAGTAAGACGGTCATCAACTAACTATACAATCAAGTATATAATCACATCCAAAGGAAATGTATGAAGGCAAAGTTATAAGAGTCTATACTATATCAAAGATACCTGGCCTGGAAAGTGAGGATAAGAGGGCTTCCTTGGGGCAATGATGTAGGAGCTGAAAACTGCAAGATGCATAGGAGTTAACCATGTAGCAAGTACAGGAAGAAAAGTTTGAGAAAACAGCCTGGGCAAAGGTCCTGCAGGAGGACAGATTGCCTAGTGGAGCTTGAAGAATGGGACCTGAATCGCTGAGGCAACTGGAAAAAGCTTTGCTTTTGGTATCTTTGTTTCTATATTTTGTCTTAGTTATTTTCTATTGCTGTGATAAAATACCCCAACAAAAGCAACTGAAGAGAGATGGGGTTTAGTTGGACTTGCAGCTCAAGGCTCAGTCCATCATGGCCGGGAAGTGAAGGCAGGAAGAGCTTGAAGCAGCTGCTCACATCACATCTACAGTCAGGATCAGAGAGCAAGTTCTCCATTATAGACAGTCCAGGACCCCTGCCTCGGAAACAGTCCTGCCCACAGTTAAAATGGGTCCTCCCCTATTGATCAACCTAATGAAGATAATCTTCACAGGTATGCTCAGCGACGAAACTCCTAGGTGATTTTAGATCCTGCTAAGTTGACAGAGCTAATCATAACCATTCCTAAGACCTTTGAAAATTGTGTTTGCGTGCAGAAATAAATAACATGCACTTTGATGACTTCACAAAACAAACACACCCATATGTCCAGATGAAGAAATGGGATGTGATCAGCCCCTCAGAGTACCTGCTGTCCTTCACCCCACCCTCCCTACCCATTACCTAGGGGTAACTACTATCTGTACTTTTAAAGCATATACTTCATCGAATTTGTTCCCAAATTCCTATAACTGGAATCCTATGGTATGTTAACATTAGTGAGATTCATCCATGTTGTCCATGCACTTGAAAATTAACTTCTACTCCTGTGTAGGATTCCAATATGCATTTTGTAATTTCTTTATCTATTTTCTGTTGAAGGGCACTGGGGTGTTTTCAGTTTGGAAAGTCTAGAATGAATTCTCATGCATGTCCTTGAAGTACAACGAATGGACTTCTGTCATGTATGTGGGCCAAGAGCAGAATACTTGGGCATAGTAAATCCCATGTTAAGCTTTAGTAGATACAAATAAAATTATTCTATAAGCAACGGTGAGGCACTAGGCATGGTGGCAAATGCCTTTGATCCCACCACTGAGGAAGCAGAGGCAGGCGGATCTCTATGAGATCAAGGCCAGCCTAGTCAGCGTAGTGAATTCCAGGCCAGCTATTTCTCTCCTCTCTTTCTCTCTCTGCCCCTGACACACAGGCATACACACACACACACACACACACACACACACACACACATACACACACACCAAAAGCAATAGTAAATCAGGGTGTGATGTTCCACACCTGTAATCTCAACATTCAAGGCAGAAGCAGAAAGATCATGAATTTGAAACAAGCCTGGACTACATAGTGAGACCTTGTCTCAAACAAACAAACAAACAAAAGCCATAAACAACCCAAAAACTCAAATAAGCCTCCAAATGAGTTTACACTTTAGTCATCAGAACTATGCTGATAGTTTGTCTCCATACCTGTCTCTTTCATCCATCCTTCCTCACTGCACTAGGCATTACCTTATGGTCTATTCTATTTTCTTCTTAAATCTATCACTTTCTAAAACTGTTGTTATGATTTGAGAGTTAATTTGTTCATTGTGAGCTGCCGGTAGCTCTACAATGCTGGGCACATACTAGATGCTCAAGAAATCAATGTAAAATGAGGGAATGAAGAGAATGAACCATCAAGAAAGCTTAAGAGAACTTGCTCTCAGGTCTTCTCTGGAATATATGGACTCTATTTGTACCTCTGGATCCTGTGGAGAAAGGTAGTTATGAACTTTACTGACAGCTTATTCCTGAGTGCCTGCAGCTCAGGCACTGCACTTGCTGGACACCTTGCCTCCCTTGGCACTTGACTCTGTGCCAGAGGACACAGTGACAACTCAGGTGTGAATGCCGTGTCAATGATTGACTGGGACAAGAGCTCGGCTGCATATTTCCAAGCACAAGGTGTGAATGCATCACTAATAGAGGCCCCTGGGCAATGTGAGTCTCCTCCCTCTAGGGAGGTAGACACAGCCAAGTTTCTCACCATCAGTCCTTGGAGATTAGAGGAGAGCAGAACTGTGCTTTGACCCAACAAGGACTAAAATCCCACTTGCCTCCTGAGAGGGGTTTCATAAAAGCCCATTGAGATGTGCAGAGCAGCATCTCTGCTCAGAGCTCCAAGGAACTCTGTCAAGTAAGGATCATTACTCCAACCTGGCACCCCATTTCCTCTTTCTCTCGTTGGGGAGTAATATTGAAGAGGGAGACAAGCAGCCCAGAAGTACAAATTGATTTGTTATCCATGTCCTTGCAGTGCAGTCTTGCAATCCTATCTTGTTCAAACTCAACTATTAAGAAAATCATTGTTCCAAGCACTGGACTGTGGTTAATCAATTAATAGTTTGCAGTAGTAAACAATCTACTATCTATTTAAGGTATACCACAATACACAGCAGAGCTCAGGAAACTGTAGCCCTTGGGCTAAATCTGGGCCACTGTTTGGTTTTATAATAAAACTTAATTGGAGTACAGCTGCCACACTCATTGACATAGTGCATCTACACCGCATAGAAGAATAGCTGTGACAGGTTTTCTTGCTCATAAAGCTAAAATATTTGTTATCCAAGTCCTTTTCAGAAAACTTCCCCTGACTTCCCTGCTAATAAGCTGAAGTGCTTTTTTTTATTAAAGAAAAATTCAATATTAAGTAAGAACCAGCCCATCCTGCTGCCATCAGCTCTCCTTGGGCCTGGCCCCTTCTTGTAGAGGCTGTGGGATGACACCTGACTAGCTGGGGAGAGTTAGCCAAATTCTGCAGCATCCATGCCCTTGCTCTAAGACTACCCCCACTACTCCACAGCTTCTCTTCTAGCTGGTAAGAACCAGCCCACCCTGTTCCTGTCAGTCCTCCATGGGCCTTCCTGCTGGAGCTGCTTGTGAGCACCTGACTAACTAGGAGAGTTATCTAGTCCCTGCCACTTGAGGTCACCATGCCTGGGTTTTGGGACCAGCCCCAGCTGCTGGGCCCAGGGCTCATGCTTTCTCTGCTTAGCTGCTTAGAATTAGCCCAGCTGATCCCCACCAACCCAACTTGAGCCTAAGCTCCTTTCCTCTCCTGAAGAGCTTGTGACTAGCCTGCATGCATCCAGCCAGTCCCTCCAATAAAAAAAGAAACAAAATAGAGAGCTGGGAGCACGGACCTACTAACTACTCATACCTGATCAGAAAGCAACGGAGCTACAGCAACAATATAAAGAGACTCAAACTTCAAATGAGCAAAAGCAGGCCTGAATTTCATGTCAGACACAGAACCAACAAAAGAATTCCATATGCCCAAATCACAATGAAAGAACACAAATAATATAAGAAACCAAAGTAATATGTCTGCATCAAACCCCACCTGTCCTATAGAAGTATTCTACAGTAAAAACTACCCAGAGGAAACCCAGGACACA